ATAAATAAAATAAATAAAATAAATTTTAAAATCCTGTAAATTAACTTTTCTCCCAATCCAGTGGATCTCTTCCAATCTACTCTTTTTGAGTTTAGAGAAATGTTTCCTTTTAATATTGTGTGGGTAAAAGAATAAAATGTAAGGGGTCAGCAGGTGGCATGGTAGTTAAAGGTGCTGGATTCCCACATGGCCAACTGTGGTTTGAATCCTGGACCTGGCAACTTGCTTTCTCCTTTCTCTCTCTCTCTGGTCAAATTTAAACAAATAATAATAATAATAAATGGAATTAAATAATTCTTTTAAAAATGTAAGACTTCTTTAGTGGGATTTGCAGAGAAATGTAATATGGGAAAAGACAATGAGTTGGGACATGATTTTTCTGGAGAAAATCATGTGATTTATATTCTGCAAAATAGGCTGCTGTTCCATCTGTTTGGGGCTTGGAAGAGAGCAGGATTCTCCTGGATGTTACTATTGCCCTCGTATTTCATTTTCCTCAAAGCCGTTGCCATCGCTGTGGGCATGTGCTCCTTTTGCTTTTAGTGCTTCGTGGTTTCCAGAGTGCTCGTTTCTTTCTAAATTTAGAGCCATTTCAATATTACTCAGCCTTTATGTCAGCATAACCGCTGACATTCCCTTGAGAGGTCCAAGGCGAATTGGTGTGGTTTAGTTTGCCTTCTGCCATAAATCTTTTAAAGAGTGTACATCGTTAGATGTCTTATATGTATTTTTATTACATTTAACTGGTTTTCAAATTTTCTTTAAGAGTATCTAAAATTATATATAATTTGAGGTCTTTTATATTCAAATAGCTTTCCTGAAAGATGGATTTGAGCATTTATTTTGAACAAAATGAGTCTGGGGCATTCTGTAAGACAGGTGGCTGAGGGGAGACTGGAGTTAGACTTGGTGGTTATGACTCAGCTTTGCTTCTTACCAGCTGTGTGATTTTGGGCAGGTCTAGCCTTTCTGGACCATAGTTTCCTCTTGTGTTAAATAAGAATACCAAAAGTATCAAGGGACTTGAAACAGTTCATGGGAAAAAGGAATTAAAGAACAAGTTTATTTCAGCACATAAAGTTTTTGAAATCTATGCATAATTTTTGTCCTAATATGCATTTCCAGGAACTGTTTGAAGACCATTGGTACAGCCCTCAAGGACTTCATGTGACGATGAAATGAGATACATGAAAAGTGCCTTTAAAAAAAACCCATGTTATTATTTATTAGTTTATTTATTTAAATTTGACCAGAGAGAGAGAGGGAAAGTGAGAAAGCAAACTGCCAGGTGCAGGACTTGAACCATGATTGGCCATGTGGGAGTTCAGCATCTCAACCACCACACCACCTGCTGGCCCTGTAAAATGCATTTTTCAGCATAGGTAATCTAAATAGTACTTATTATAGGACAGCTATTACTAAACTACAAGAAAACTCAGTAGAGAAACATCTCAGTTTAGGACATTAAGCAGATAGCTTGTTGAAGTGATGCCAGTGATTCTGGCCCCAAGGATTGTTAGCTTGTTAGCTTATGGCCAAAGTTGCTGTTTTCAAGTCCTCTGTGCAGGTGAATGTTTAGTTACAGCCTGTATAGTGCTTGATAGTAACATTTAGGAGCAGAGAAAATTTAAAATGGAAGTGTTGGAATCTATTTGTTGCATGCATCAGAAATAAAGATACTTTCTGGGTTCGACAGGTGGTGTGATGGTTAAGGGCGCTGAACTCCCACATGGCTGACCATGGTTCAAGTCCCAGACCTGGTGGCTCTCTCTCTCTCTCTCTCTCTCTCATTTTGTCCCTCTGTGTTCACATTTAAATAAAGAAAGAAAGAAAGGAAGAAAGAAAGAAAGAAAGTTAAATAAAAATAATTCTTTAACAACAACAAAAAGAAGTAAAGATACTTTTAAATGACGTTGGAAATGGCTGGGGAAAAACACTTTATGGTAGGAAGAGTGAGTGACAGAGGGAGTGAGGTCTACCCTCAACAGGGTCTCATCTTCATGTGTGAGCCCCTTCCCCTGGCCCTCTAGCTAGCCAGGATGTTGGCTTCCAGGGACTTGGAACCCAAGCCCGTGGTTGGCCATGTGGCTCCAGCACCGTAGGTCATCATGCTGCCTGTACCGCTGAGGCTGGGCTGAGACAGTAGTTGTCTTAGTGATTTTTTTTGTTGCGAACAATAATACCTGAGCCTGGGTGATTTTATAAAAAGGACAGAAGTTTATTTACGAACTTGTGGTGGCTGGAAAGTCCAAAGCCCTAGGCCTATAGGCTGGCCGATGGAAGCACAGAGGACGCCAGGCGTGCGCAGGGAGAGCAAGCTCCCGACCCATCTGTCTTTTAGAACAACCGGCTCGTGAGAACTAACCCCTTTTCATGGGGCTAGACTTCATGGGGTCTGGCGAGACAGCACTCACCTATTCATGAGACTGTCACCCCCACGATGCAATCACGGTGAACCAATCACCACTTACTAGGCCTCAGCCTGGGACACTGTGAAGGAATGAAGTTTTCACATAATATCTTTTAATACAGTGGATACAATCAAGTTCCAACATGAACATTTCCGGAGGATACATTTAAACCACAGCAGAGAGATTTTTGATACAATCTTGCTGGCGTCATTCTCCTACCCTAACCTCCCAATTAGCTAGGTTTACAGGCATGTGCAGCCGTGCCCGGCCTGGTCACATTGGCCTGGAAAACCAAACCTGGGCTTCGCATGCAGCTAATGGACCTTCAAGTGGTGGCACTATTTATGTGCCACCATGGCTGGGCCAAAACAGACTTCCTAGTTCCCCGAGAGTTTAACTCTGTAATGCAGGAAAGTTGTCCCAGATGGAATATCCTTGAAAAAGCTTCTACAGAGCAAGGCTTCTGGAACTTTCATTTAATCTATGAGATTATTTAGGTTCAAATTTCAGCAGCACTTTTAGGAGTTCCGTTCTTCTTAGTCACAAATTCTTACAGAGAAGAGGATGTCAACCAGTGTAACACCAATGTCCCTTGACAGGTGGGAGGTTATAAAACCAAGAAGTTAGAATTCACTTTGTACTGAAAGGACACTACTCCAGAAAAGAGTCTTAAGTTATTCTAGGAAATGCCAGGTATTTAAAGATAAAATGGGAGTAAAATATATGAATTGCAGGGAATCTGAGAGAGTATTTTGAAGTACTAGGGCTTAGAAAGATTTATAGTTTGTTTTTAAAGTTTTTTTCTTTTTGTATTTTAGTTATTTTTAAGTTTGCTATAGGGCACGTGTGCTCACCAGAGGGAGGGAGAGAGTGAGGGAGAGAGAGACAGAGAGAGAGAGAGAAAGTGAGAAAGCAAGCCACCAGGTTCAAGACTCAAACTGGAGGCAACCATGTGGGAGTCCAGCACCTTAACCACCACACCACCTTCTGGCCCCGAGGTTTGTGATTTAAAGCAGGATCTTGTTCCTTCTCGATCTCTTACGTTCTAGAGAAACCCAGGCCACACTTTCTAGTGACTTTTAGGTAAGGACCAGAGGCAGTGCATGTGGAGGACCACAGACTTCTAACCTCATAGTTTATGAAAGCCCAAGTTTATTTCTCTTCCTGCTCTGCTGCCAATATCCTGAAGAAAGGAGTTTGTGTGTGGCAGATTCAGAGCCAGGCTCTAAGGAAGAGAAACTCTTTGAGTAGTGCCAGAAGCCCCTCCATTGGCATTAATGGGGCTGACCATGGCAGAGGGGAGGGCCAGAAGCCCTGGTGGTCCAAAGACCTAGATTCGAGCCCTGGCTTATTTATTTTTTATACAAATAAAAATGGTAGCATGGTGGGTAAGGCGCTGGACTCCCCCTTGGCTGCCTGTGGATTGAGTCTCAGACCTGGTGGCTTGCTTTCTTACTTTCCCTCTCTCCCTCTCTCTGGTGAGTGTACATGCCCTATAGCAAATTAAAAATAGTAATGATGATAGATAAAATTAAATAATTCTTTTAAAAAAATTGTATGTTTGGCATGGTGGTTAAAGGGACTGGGTGTCCGACTTTGTGGTTCAAGTCCTGGACCTGGCAGCTTGGCTGCATGTCTGTGTGTGCCCAACATCCTGAAAGGAGGATGGGGGAGAAGAGATCCTTCCCGGGGGGTGCTTTCTCTCTCTCTCTGTCTCTGGCAAGTACATGCATCGCTATAGCAAAATTAACCAAAGAAGTATGTATTTATGGTGTACAAATGTTTTGATATACATTGTGAAATGATGAAATCCATTAATGATAATTAACAGATACATCATCTTATCTACTTATTGTTTTATAGTGAGAACATTTACTATCTGCTCTCTTAGCAATTTTTAAGTATAGAAAACATTATTCAAAGCCAGCTGGTGGCATGGAGGTTGAGGCGATTATATCCCATGTGGATGACTGTGAGGTTCGAGTCTTGGACCCAGAAGCTTGAGGGCGTATGTGTGTTAATGCCCCAAATGCTGAGAGGAGAGTGGAGGAGGAGGGATTGCTGTGAGGCAGACCCCCCTGGGGGAGCACTTTTTCACATTCCCCTTCTCACTTGCTGTCACTGTCTCTCTTTGGAGAGTGTACATTTCCTATAGCAAAATATTTTTCTAAATGTTATTGGGACCAGCAGATGGTGTAATGGTTACGTAGCTGGAGTCACATGAAGTTCGAGTCCCAGAGCTGGCATCTTAAAACTCATGCCAGGTGTGTGTGTGTGCATGTGCCCAAGATCCGGAGAGGAGAACAGAAGAGGGGGTATCGTGGAATGGCCATCCCCCTGGGGTGGGAAGAGGAGGGAGATTTCTTGCTCTCTGTCTCTCTGTTTCTCCAGAGAGTGAATGTACCCTATAGCAAAAATCTCTCTCTCAAAAAAAAAACAAAACTAAAAAAACCAAAAAAGCTATTTTGGGGCCACACGGGCCCACATGGAGAAGGTCCTGCATTCGTGTGCCAGGACTTCCCTGAGCGAGGAGTGTGCACGTGTGTGTCTGTGTCCCATCCGTGCAGGCAGGGTGTGTATGTGTGCATGTTTGAGATGCAGGGTGGGGTAAGGTCACTGGGAGGAAGAGATTTGACTGGGGTAAGGTCTATGACACCTTCAACAGCAATGGGTCTCTGGGAGTGCGAGCAAATTGAATTGATATTAAGATTTAAGATAGAGCTCTCTTGTGTCGGACCCATTGCTTAATATTTTGTCTCTTCTCTTCTCAGAGCTCTCACTTGTGGGCATCGGGGAGCTGCGTGACGAGGAGCAATGCTTCCCCGATGGGAACTGTCTCTTTACCTGCTTGCTTCACTAGGCTTCCACTTCTATTCTTTCTATGAAGTTTACAAAGTCTCCAGAGGTAAGGTCCTAAGCTTCTCTGCTCTATCAAAAACAAAGCTCCTATCAAAAAAGGACCAGAAGTAGACATTTCGGGAAGGTGGTCCAATATGGTCTAGCCTGGATTATGAGTGAATGAGTGCCTCACATGTTCAGGTAGGTCGTGGGACACTAATCTAGCACAGTACCACAACCTGAACCCTAACATCTTTTTATTATTTATTTATTAATTTATTTATTTTTACCAGAGGTCATATGTACTCTCCAGAAAAAGACAAAGACAGAGAAAGACAAAGACAGAGAGAGAGAGAGACAGAGAGAGAGAGAGAAAGTGAGAAAGCAAGCCACCAGGTTCAAGACTCAAACTGGAGGCAACCATGTGGGAGTCCAGCACCTTAACCACCACACCACCTTCTGGCCCCGAGGTTTGTGATTTAAAGCAGGATCTTGTTCCTTCTCGATCTCTTACGTTCTAGAGAAACCCAGGCCACACTTTCTAGTGACTTTTAGGTAAGGACCAGAGGCAGTGCATGTGGAGGACCACAGACTTCTAACCTCATAGTTTATGAAAGCCCAAGTTTATTTCTCTTCCTGCTCTGCTGCCAATATCCTGAAGAAAGGAGTTTGTGTGTGGCAGATTCAGAGCCAGGCTCTAAGGAAGAGAAACTCTTTGAGTAGTGCCAGAAGCCCCTCCATTGGCATTAATGGGGCTGACCATGGCAGAGGGGAGGGCCAGAAGCCCTGGTGGTCCAAAGACCTAGATTCGAGCCCTGGCTTATTTATTTTTTATACAAATAAAAATGGTAGCATGGTGGGTAAGGCGCTGGACTCCCCCTTGGCTGCCTGTGGATTGAGTCTCAGACCTGGTGGCTTGCTTTCTTACTTTCCCTCTCTCCCTCTCTCTGGTGAGTGTACATGCCCTATAGCAAATTAAAAATAGTAATGATGATAGATAAAATTAAATAATTCTTTTAAAAAAATTGTATGTTTGGCATGGTGGTTAAAGGGACTGGGTGTCCGACTTTGTGGTTCAAGTCCTGGACCTGGCAGCTTGGCTGCATGTCTGTGTGTGCCCAACATCCTGAAAGGAGGATGGGGGAGAAGAGATCCTTCCCGGGGGGTGCTTTCTCTCTCTCTCTGTCTCTGGCAAGTACATGCATCGCTATAGCAAAATTAACCAAAGAAGTATGTATTTATGGTGTACAAATGTTTTGATATACATTGTGAAATGATGAAATCCATTAATGATAATTAACAGATACATCATCTTATCTACTTATTGTTTTATAGTGAGAACATTTACTATCTGCTCTCTTAGCAATTTTTAAGTATAGAAAACATTATTCAAAGCCAGCTGGTGGCATGGAGGTTGAGGCGATTATATCCCATGTGGATGACTGTGAGGTTCGAGTCTTGGACCCAGAAGCTTGAGGGCGTATGTGTGTTAATGCCCCAAATGCTGAGAGGAGAGTGGAGGAGGAGGGATTGCTGTGAGGCAGACCCCCCTGGGGGAGCACTTTTTCACATTCCCCTTCTCACTTGCTGTCACTGTCTCTCTTTGGAGAGTGTACATTTCCTATAGCAAAATATTTTTCTAAATGTTATTGGGACCAGCAGATGGTGTAATGGTTACGTAGCTGGAGTCACATGAAGTTCGAGTCCCAGAGCTGGCATCTTAAAACTCATGCCAGGTGTGTGTGTGTGCATGTGCCCAAGATCCGGAGAGGAGAACAGAAGAGGGGGTATCGTGGAATGGCCATCCCCCTGGGGTGGGAAGAGGAGGGAGATTTCTTGCTCTCTGTCTCTCTGTTTCTCCAGAGAGTGAATGTACCCTATAGCAAAAATCTCTCTCTCAAAAAAAAAACAAAACTAAAAAAACCAAAAAAGCTATTTTGGGGCCACACGGGCCCACATGGAGAAGGTCCTGCATTCGTGTGCCAGGACTTCCCTGAGCGAGGAGTGTGCACGTGTGTGTCTGTGTCCCATCCGTGCAGGCAGGGTGTGTATGTGTGCATGTTTGAGATGCAGGGTGGGGTAAGGTCACTGGGAGGAAGAGATTTGACTGGGGTAAGGTCTATGACACCTTCAACAGCAATGGGTCTCTGGGAGTGCGAGCAAATTGAATTGATATTAAGATTTAAGATAGAGCTCTCTTGTGTCGGACCCATTGCTTAATATTTTGTCTCTTCTCTTCTCAGAGCTCTCACTTGTGGGCATCGGGGAGCTGCGTGACGAGGAGCAATGCTTCCCCGATGGGAACTGTCTCTTTACCTGCTTGCTTCACTAGGCTTCCACTTCTATTCTTTCTATGAAGTTTACAAAGTCTCCAGAGGTAAGGTCCTAAGCTTCTCTGCTCTATCAAAAACAAAGCTCCTATCAAAAAAGGACCAGAAGTAGACATTTCGGGAAGGTGGTCCAATATGGTCAGAATAACTTGGGCCTAGAATTGCTCCCCCGGAACAGGGTCAGGACATTGAACTCCACCTCCAGCCTCAACCAGCCCTGAGTCCTAGGCACACGCATACCTGGTGTACTCGGGGAGGCCTTGGTCTAGAGTGGAACTTCCCCTGTGGGTCAGCCTCGAAGCGCTGCTATGCAGTCTGTTACAGTGTTTTAAAGTCTGCATCTGTCTCATTTCCCCTGTCTTAAAAAATTCCCAAAGATTTTGTTTATTTAGTAAATTTATTCTCTTTTTCAAAGAACAAGTTCTTAGATCTATTTATAAATTTTCCCTTTTTTCTGTTTTCAGTAAAGATCCTTTTCTTTTTCTTTTTTTTTGTTTTTGCCTTCATTATTACTATATAGTTTATTTAAACCAAACTACGATAATACAGAGAAGAGACTGAGGTGGCAGCAGCCCCAGGATCTTCGCGGATTACAGATGCAAAGTCGTCCGAGGAACAGTCCTTGGACCCACACTCAGTAACAGACAAGTCAGCTGCATAAATACAGAGAACACAAGACACAAGACGTTTCACAGCTTTTCCCTTTGCGTTTCCATTTTAAACATATGTATAATTTTACATTTCAAATGACTACTCCACATATTTTCTGCCAACAGCTAAGAATGTAATGATGGCCCCATCCTCCTTACATTAGCGGACATTGGCTTGCAACACGGAATGTTTTGGAATAGCAAACAAACCCATAACACGTAACATACAAAAACTTCCTTAAAAATCAGATTAATACAATGTTCTTCACGTGATATGAAGAGGTGGAAAAACAAGACCTTGGCGGTGCTTTAGATGTATGGTATCTTGAGGTCTTAAAAGTTCCATTCCCTTCCTCAAAGGGAAACCATCATTTTAACTAATGGAAAAAAGAAAGGAACATCTTGATGTCCTGCCTGGAGGAAGAACACTACCCTGACAGTGCTTCGGTCCTTCCATGTAATAAGTACAACAGGTAGCAGAGCAAATGTCACAAGGATTGATTTGGCTTTTATTTCTAGGCTTATAACAAAAAAATATGCTTCTTTGTGTGGTGTTGGCCTGTTGGTGTTAGTCTTTGGGGCCTGGACACCCACCGCTGGTTCCTTCCATTCCAGGCCCCTCGAGTAGGCTTCACTGCCGGCTGCCTGCATGCTATTTCCCTGGGGGAAGAATTCTTGTCTTCACCTTGAATGCAGTCGGATTCTGGCTTAGTTACATGCTCATGTGTTCCGGAAGGACATACGAGGTGAAGATTATTTTCCGAGGAGCAGCAGCTACCCTTTGCAGGCTCACGCACACATTCTTTGATGCTGCCCCTATCTTCCTGACGTTGTGAATTCGTGTCCTTTATATAAATGGAACGGTGCTTGCCATTGATTGGCGTTTTCATTTCACAGGTTCTATTTTCATTTCCTTAATCGTCAGTGATCTGTAGTTAATGTTTCTTTAAACACATTCATAATACCAGGGAGCCCTGATACTTAAAGAACCTTTGGATTTTACGTGCAGAGTATTGGTTTGAATTGCCACCCCCAGTTCCTTTGTTTTTATGCAGCAGATGTTCTCATAGTGGGCCACAGCTATAGTTGAACACATTCCCCTTCTACCTTTGGTTTACTCCTATACATGCCTGTGGGCTTCGTAATGACTAATCTGTTGATGAGAAAGGGTCTAGCCGGATAGGAACATACTTTTTGTTGGGGGGAGGAGGGTTTGTGCTCGTGCATTGACTTGCTAGAGGTAGACAGAAGGAAAGTAAGAAATGACTCCCTATGGGGTGAATGGGCATCTGTTCTCCTTCATTCTCCTCTTGGGATTTTGGGCATGCACACACGCGTGTACCTGGTGTGATTTCCAAGCCATCTGGTCCAGGACTTGAACCATGGTTGGTGACCATATGGGAGTCCAGCACCTTAACCACCATGCCACCTGCTGGCCCCCAAAAATCTGTTTTCTTAGTGCTTTTAATAAATGTCTTGGAGAAGAAGGGATTTCAACATGGCTAGCCCCCCTGGGAGGATGATTTCTTACCCAGCTCCCTGCCCTCGTTTCCGCGTCTCTGTCATGCACATGCATACTACAGCAAAGACTAAAACGAAATAAATAAACTTCACACAATGACTTGGGACAGGGCCTGGGCTGGACAGCATTGGACGGCCATCCCTTGCATCAAACTCCCCAGCTGTGCCCCACACCAGCATGCAGTGCTTTGTGCTCCCTTTTGGCTAGAGTTTCCATTTCAATCTGGAGCTGCTTCCACCTCTGCAGCTGCACTAAGGAGTCCATATAAGTTGTAGACCTGGTGATTGCCTGGTAGGTCCCAGAATTCTTGGATGAGTAGCAGGTGAGCAGCCCGATGTGGGAGGCTGGAAAGCCATTCATGCAGTTTATTGTTCGGCATTTGTTTACATACACGCTTTGCTTTTGCTTGTGTTCTTTCTTTTCTTATTTATTTGTTTTTAAAGTTTATTTATTTATTCCTTACATGATCATGAGAGAGACAGACAGACGGGTGTCTCCAACAGGGTCTCCACCCATGATCCACTCCTAGTCTTAGTCAGCTTGGGGGACAGGCACGCATGCTCAC